CACAGGGGTGAGCGAGTCACAAAAATATGACGGACCCAGGTGGCTGACTTCAGTGCAAGCAGTGCTAAGTTTAATTACAGTGAAATATAACAAGGAAATGAATAATCAGGTAGAAGTGGGACCGGGTGTCGAGCTGCAGAAGTGAATACAGTCAGTGGCTGAATGATGAGGAGAAGACTGGGCTGCAGACACTGGGACTCCTGGGCTGGTTGTGGTGGAAAGTATTGAGGAAGAACAGAGTTTGTACATACAGTTAGTAGGAGACTGTGCATCAACCTGCGTGGTGGAGAAGGAGCCGGGTAGAGGAGGTCTGTGGTCCGGAGAAGCGACAGAGGCGAGGAGGAATGAAACAATGGAGCTAAAGACTGGAACAGAGCTAGGGCAACAAAACGTGAAGATACTATACAGTAAAAGAGAACGGGAAACAAACGGGCCTGATAACGCTAGAAAGAACTGGCAGGGGAGTGAACGTAAAGCAGGGAATAAATAAGGAGAACTAATCAGGTGCAGCTGGTGGTAATCAGGGGATATGAAGCAGGTGTGTCGGATAACGTAATCAAGGTAAGGGAGCAAAAACAGAGTGAGGGGAGTGAGAAGGCAGGCGCAGCCAGGCAAACCTGACACTGCCAAGAAACACCAACATAACCTATTCGTTTTTGTGACTCTGTCTGACTTTCCACTTACTCAACACTTCAACACTGAGGTCTTCAAGGTCGACTACAACCTGGGGATAGTCTGGTTGCAGGACAGCTCGTAACGTTTCTCTAAACTTTCATAATGTTCTGATTCTATGCTGCAGAAAGTTCAGTGAGTGCTCAAACAAACTTTTTTTTCACAATACAGTACTTCTCGGATTGACAAGTTAAAACTGTGCATGTACTGTATGTGTGTGTTAGATCAGTAGTTTGGATTTGTACTTTGGCGGAGCCAGCAGAGTCTCAGTTTCCTAATAAAATCACTGTGTGGATTTCTCTCTGCCTACTATGTATCGATCTGGATGATACATGGTTGTTTTGGAAACTCTACACTTTAGTCCATAAGGCAACAAGCGATGGATCACAAATGGACACTTATTAAATTTGCTGCCTTTACTGATAACACCATTATGTGGTGAAAAAAAAGCTCCAAGAATAAGGTGTAAATATGGTGACTGTCAACACCAAAGACTAAGGCTCTACAGAGGATAAGGTGTAAATCAAGCAAGTTTACTTTGGTAAAAATGTTTTAAAATTACTAAATACTGTATATACAAATGTGGGCCATGCCTACATAATATACATCTGGCACCATACAGCATATACAGTATTGATTACAGTGTTAAAAGTATGAACATCATATTCATGCATCAAGCATCTTCTGTCACCTACTCGAGCTTCAATCTTTCCCTCTTGGAAAGCTCTGAATGTGCCATACAAGCAGCCCGAGGTTGTTCCTAGAATTGTCTTGTTCTTTCTCTGAGCAAAGTGCAGTGGATGTGAATGCCACATGTCAGAGTAGGGTAAACAATCTATTTTCTGTTAGCTACTTAATACTTTTATAAAGGAACATAATCTGTGGAATTACTCAAGACCCATTTTTCTGTTATATTGCCCATAATCAGTATTCAACATGCAGTACATTGCAAGGTTCAGGCGAGTTTGTCCGTGATTTCAATACGGTGTTGTCCTTTGAATCATCTGTACAGTGCACAAAGTAAATTGTCTATTTTTTGCAATTATTTCATTGCCTTGATATTGTGTTTTTGAAAGAACATAATGGATGAAATCTGCTGTTTTTTAATTGGATCACAGTAGTATTACTCAATATAACCTTCTTCTCTTCAGCCCAAAAGCACAAAAGCAACTTGCCATAAAAGGACTCATCACATTCATCCTCCTGTTTCTATCGATTTATGCCCCCTTAATACATCCATGATTTACACATACAGTATGTGACTTTGCTGTTCATGTAACACCGTATCAAGTTTTATCACATGGGCAGTCACACACACACTTCGAGTAAGGCAAATGAAGCTACTGGCAACCTAAACAATAAACAGGAATCGCATAAAGCTACCTTTTAAATAGCAAAGCACTTGCACCCATCACAGAGAAACCCTCAGGATATTCCTGAGAGGAACCTGTGTACCTATGTATCAGGCTCTTACCTCAGGATCTGGGATCTGGGAGAACACGGAGGACAAGCACTGAGACAGCAGCACTGCTCCCCAGCCCCGCACCAGGAGCTGAGGTTGACACACAGGATGATCCCCAACCATTCTCTTCCCCTCTTTCTCCTTGCAGCCACCCTGCCCCCTCTCTTCCCCCTCCTCTGCCTCTTCCTCTCTGTCTGCCTGCCTGTTCTCACTGGCGCCGTATACAGGACAGGACCAATGGCCCCGGGTGATTAATGGTGACTATGGTGCTGACGACTTACTCACATCCACTGCTGTCTGCTGCTATGCTCCTCTATCTTTTGCCTTTCTAGTAAAACACTGCATGAACCTAGAGACATCCGTAGTAACCACTGCAGCCAGCTGAAAACTGCTTCACTATGTAGGGAGCCAGCCCTGCAGTTAGGGCACATTAATTAATTAATTAGTAGACCTGGTGTGGTTTACACCCACAGGCAGTTAACACAGTGTGGGGGGGATGGGCAGTTAACCATGGGGTTGGCCTGCACAGGACAGAGAAGCAAACGGCTGTGTCATCTTTACTGCCTCAGTAGGCTGGAGTGTGAAACGTTCCTACAGCTTTGTCTGCTCAGTGTGGCAAAATATAAAGAGTTAAGCTTCTCTGAAATTCATTGTTTTTAATATACATCTGCCAAAGGAAAAACAAAATGTCAGATTACTTTGGCTGCAGTCATTTGTGTCCACTTCAGAAGTTTTTTGTTTGTTTGGGGAATGGCTGCTCTTAATCCAGAGGATTTTTCTATGAAATCTACTGTATGTAGGTTATGTATCCATGTCTAATTTACACATACAGTACTGTTTGTGATTTAAACTATAGCAGTACATTGCTTTCTACAGTTATGTCAGTTATGAAATCCTAATTTATAGACCACTTAAATCTGCATGCATCAGATACAAAAGTACATGGGAAACAGTGACAATTTTATGTCTCTTGAAGTTCCCAAAAACATAACACTGAATTACTTGATTTCACAAAGTATGTCATACGTACAAGGAGTTTGTGTGTGCACACATGTACGACATGTAACATGCTAAGCAAGACCAGACAAGTACACAGACTACATATTCAAGAAAGTTAGTCATGGAGTGGTGACCTGCAGATGGATGCTTTTCATGGGGAGGTATTAGAACAGGTCTAAAAGGGCCTTTAATAAGACATGCCAATATACAAATTCATCGTCATTATAGTTACATTTCCTCAACCCTTGCTTGGCCCTGGCTGGGTAAAGCTGTAATTAACTGTGATGATATACTCTGATCTCACAAATTGTCACAGGGAAACACCCATTAATCACCACAGAAACCAAGGCACTATGCATTTTGCTTGAGGACTATACACTTGCACACCATATGTAGCACATTTGAATCTGACTTTTCTGATTAATAGGAAATGTGAGTTAGGAGCCTGCAGCCCCATCCTGAGGGTTTCTGGTGATAATGAAAAAGCCTTAGAAATACTGTAGCTCCCAGTGATTGGCTATTGTCAGAGGTGTTGGGTGCAATCACCATATCAGTGTATTATCAGCTAGTTCATATCCATCTGGTGGCATATAAGAGATTGCTGTGTTGTTTATACTGGTAGGCTATGCTTGCACAAAGCTTCAGTAATCTTTGTCAACCTAGTGGTATTTCAGGCAAAATGTGTAAATGAAAACTGCAAAAAGAAGCCAGGAGAGTAAAAGTTTTAATATGTGAATGTAAAAATGGACAAAGTTGATAAAGATCAGGCAAAAGGTAGAGTTGACACTGGAACTTGGGGAGACTCGTTTGGCAGTGGGACCACTGGAGACCCCTATGCATAAGGTTAGCTCTCATGAGTTCTGCCTCCGGTTAACCTTGCAAGTGAATGGTGCTGAATTAATGGAGGGCAAACCTGGACAACGGACCCCCAGGTAGTCTAAGGCATGCTAGAATAACAAGGACTGGAAGACACACAGCAAGTAGCTAAACATAGGAGCTGAAGAGCAAGGTAATGCTTCACTCCCAATCCAGAAATGCTGGATATGACACTTAGTGCCTTGTATTTACAAGAAAAACCTCCATTTATTAAATGTTCTATATTATTCTGTTTAGAACAAAGTCACAATCACTGGTGATACACATGCTGAGAAGATTTGCATCTATGACACTTGGAAGTTTTTCATGCTTATGGATATCTGTTTACTAAAGGAAAACACACAGTAGCCTACATACATAAACGCATCTCCTGGACAAAAACTGTAAAGTGCTGGGATGCCCCATTACTAATTAATTAAGTAGCTTATTTTTCCTGACTATTACTATTACTAGTGTATTGTGAAAAGTCACAAGCTATCCAGCAGTAATTCAGATTAAATGCATATAAGCTAGTTAAAACTAGCTCCCCTTTACCAGCTGCAACATTAACAGAGTATTTTTACACTGTTGTATTGCTACTTTTATTTAATTAGAAGATCTAAGCATTTCTTCTACAACTGCTCAAGTAGAGTACAGATACCTGACAAATCTACTTAAGTACAGTGATGAAGTATTTGTACTTCCTTTCTTCCCACCTCTGGATCACACTGCACTGATGTAGTACCTTACCTGATCAGAATACTGGGAAACTTCAAGCAAAGATCAATATGAGCAGGCATAACTCCAGAAGTTTGAAATAAGAATGCGAGACAGATCAAAATTAGATATCTGCTGACAGAACTTGTCTTATCAATGCATCACTATAAATTGTTGGTGAGTGTAGTGAGTGCCTCCTTACATTAGTAATGATATCAACGACAGCAGCAATTTTAGTTATCTGCAGTAGGTTGCTCCGATGAACGTTTCACTTGATTTAAAAAAAGCTTATCATTACTTTACCACTGGTTAGTAAAGATAACTGTTTATTTCTACTTACTGTAAATGAGCACATTAGGATTCCGCTATTTTCTTTCCATTACATGTAAATGAGAGGCAGAAGGAAATGAATGGACTCATAGAGGCACAAACCATTTTCTGGCCTAAGTAAAGTTCACAGATCCCTCATATACTGATGGCTAACTTTAACCTCTGCGTTCACAACACCACTATTTACTTTAGTTTCTGGATGCAGTCAATGGTCTGCAGGAAGCATCGGTCCAGAACGAGGGAATACCTCTGAGGAGAAGGATGGAGAAAGGAGTCATTCAAACCTGGAATGACAAATAGGTGAGGTTGTTTACGTATGCTGTGTTTACATAAGTTTGTGTTTGGTTTGGTGGGTTTTTGGGCATTTTGGAATAAATCTACACTTTTCTGCGTAATACAGCTACATAAAACAATATTAAAATTGTTTGGTGAAGTGTAATTGATTTGAAGGTGATGACACTCTTTAATGGCTAAAGTCAACAGGAGTAGTCATATTACTCTATGACAACATTGGTTTTTAGCAGAAATTAGAGTCAAATGAGTATTTACAGCAGGAAACTTTATTTAAAAATTCATAAGCTGTTCATGTTAGCCATGTTCCTATCAAGAGGCTCAACAAACTTCAGATTGAAATTTTGGGAAAATATTCTATATGCTCACAAACACTTGATATTATTTTTATATGCGGTTATTTTAGGGCAGATTTACAAAACAACTAAACAAAAATTGAGTAAATTAAACATTTCCCTGGAGTTGGACGCAGTCAGGGATCATGACAAGTGTTGGCTCCGCCAACACCATTTCTGATGCACATTTGATACATATTTGAGAAAAACACAGGACATGTAGTCATAAACCTAATGGTATCTAATCTGTTGCTCCAGTGAGACATCTCACTCTTACATTAAAGAGTGTCTCACCTTCTATCCAGGAGGCTTTCAACACAAGCTGTTTTTTGTAACTCTGAGCATAAAGGCTTTCTTCATCATGTCCAAACCCTGATATTTTTGTCTTGTGGCACTTTCTTGCTCAGTCCAATGGGGACCTGCCAATCTCCCACAGGGTCTGGAAGAAATAGTGCAGTATTTGAAGCAGCACACTAACTCAGCTATGGTTTTAAATTAAGCGTGATGTGGAAGGGAAGGAGGAAAAGCACATGTGGGGTGGAGGTGGCTGTGCAGCTTGAATTTGCATTTACAGTATTTTCAACCGCTATTCCCACAAAGCTTATTTCCTATCAGAAATAATTAGAAGTAATATTTAAAAGGAATAATGAATATTGAGGTGTTTACTAGTTGCATTGGCCTGCCATACATTTATGTACAACTATCTAGAGCCAGCCCCCTAAACAAACAAGATTATAGCCGTGACGGTAAATGATATATTCAAAACATCTGGGGAGGTTCTAGTTGCCTTTTCATTGATTAAATTGGATGTTTCATTAGTTTACAAAAATACTTTAACACAAACATTGCTTTTTATACATAGATTGTACTTAAGATTGCCAGTGGAGAAAAAGACATTTTTATTTAATAAAATGCCATGTGACAGTGGCACCTCTAAAATTGCAAGCAGACAACACAATAAACAATAGGGAAACATGCTGTCATCATCAAACATTTCTGCAATCAGTAGGAACACTTGTCTGATGACATCAAATTAAAGTTAAACTGTCTATTACTCAAGGTACTCAACTGATTAAAACTATGGTCACCCTACAACATAAAGAAACCATCAGAAGCTGAAGTGGAGAAAAAGACATTCATATGAGATTGCATAAAAGAAAAGAGGAGAAGCTGTTTCCTGAAGGATACTATTTGTAACATGTAACAGGAGAAGTTGGACTGGTGCCTGAATGTGACATTGACCTGGGACCAGTGAGTTGTCCTGGACAGTGTCTTCTCTTGGCTGTCACTGGACTTGCAGTAAAACATGCTTGTCTTGTCTCATCACATCACTGCAGAGCTGCAGATCCATGGTGGAGAGTACTCTTTAGTAATGCCCTCAAAGCCACCTTTACCTTCAGCTGTATGACCAGCCAGGAGACAACACATGAGAGCAACATGAACATCTCTGTGCAGCCCAGATATATGGGTTAGAAACAGTGCCACCCATAGGCAGTGTGTCTGCTGCCAGGAATCATGATTTCTGGCATCTACTGTAAATCTTAGAGTTGAAAAAACAAAGTTTGACTTCACAGCCAATTTATAACATTTACAGTGTTGTGAAAGTTAGCAAATGCCAACCAACTTATTGGACTGTTATTTCATTTTCCCAGGTTTTTAGACTCCCACAACCACTGCTCCTTGTGACAGCCACAAACAAGACAGACAAGGGTGAAACAGAGGAGTTAATATTTGTTTGACATTGTCACATCATGATGTCACTAAGCTTTGGCATAACGGTCCTACCTTTGGTGTTTACAGAGTCCTTATTTTGAATCTAATTTTGTCTCTTCCATCTGCATCTCCAGGATAACTCTCCTGCGGTGCTCCTCTTGGTATCTATGTTCAGCCTCCAAACACCTCTGGTTCAGCTCTTTCTCTCTGGAAGATTCAAACACATTGAGTTAAAATAACAGCAATGTAATTTGATATGTAAATAAATAAATGTATTTGTATAATGACATACATAATTAAAACTTGTATGATTACAATATGTGGCAATACATTTTCCAGGGTAGAATATTACTATAGTTTGCTTTGATTTATACTAAATATGATGCTTGGTTTAGAATTTTATCACTGGGAAAATGTTCTAATGTAAATGTTATCTGAAGGTTGTAAAAGAGACTGGAAAACTCACCCCTCAGTCCCTACTATAGAAAGGCTTAGGCACAGTGCTGAAGTATTTTTGGGGAATGCCTAAGCCGAATCACTGAAATAAGGCCACATATCAGAATGAATGTAAAAACAAAGTTGAGTTATATGAGCTGAAAATAACAGAGAGGTGACTTGATCTCAAAATGCAATGTAAGCTGGCAACAGGAATGACATTTCAATCAACAATCAGTGTTTGGATGAATGTTTGTGTGATTGCATAGCCAAGCTTATCATATAGTTGATTGGTACTTCTCTGTACTGTCAAATCAGGGCAGTTACAACCATTGATAAGATTAGCCTCCATAAAGAATACATGAAGTGTTCTATAGGCTATAACTTTGTTAAGGAGCAATTCTAGCAGAATGTAGCCTATTTAACAAATAAAGACATTGCTAATTCACATAATACGTACTGAATTAGCTAATTTATGTTAGCCAAGGAAGCTAATTAGTTGACATAGGCTTCATCATTGTCAAATGGAAGAGATTTGGAACCACCACCAGTCTTTATAGGTCTGGCCGCCCGGCCAAATGGAGTAGGTAGGGATGAAGGTCTTTGGTCAGACAGGTAACCAAGAACCCAAGGGTCACTATCACTCAAAAAAACCTGTTTTCGCTTTATCGTTGTGGAGTATTGTGTGTAAATTGATGAGGAAAAAAATGAATTGAATCCATTTTAAGATAAGTCTGAAACATAACAAAATGTGGAACACTTGAAAGGTTCTGTAAACTTTCTGTACTGACTGTAAATATAAGTTTGAATTTCCAAATTCCAAGTGCTCATGGCCTTAAAATAGTCATGCACATTTGATTATAACTTAACAGAATGTTTTACTGTCATATCGATTTTGTTCACATTTTAGCAGAAAAGGTAGTTTTTATGTTTGTGATACAAAAAAATAACAAAATTGCCAATTGAAAATAAAATATGAAAATACCACAGCAAAAGGTTTAGTCCTCCTCTTGTGAATCATTTACATACTCTCAGGGCATAGATGCTACCAGCTCTAGGATGAGGGTGCATGTACGGCATATGTTTGTTACTGCAAACTTTTACAAGCAGCCAATGTCATTGCCATTATATTACAGTACATTATCATAACATTAGACTTTACGTTACACAGTCTACCACTAGATAATGTTCACACAAAAACAGCCCTATATTGCATCACCATCTCTGATGAGGACAAGAGCCAGCAACAGTAATATAATAATGCCATTCCTGATCTTGCTGTTTCACTGCTTCCTGTGTAATCTCAGACTGATTTAAAAGGTTTGAAGATCATTTCTGACCAGTGCTGCTGGTCTTTATCTGCTTTTGGTGTTATATTTTGTTATAATTATTAGAAAATGCTTTAAAACCCTGTTTCTCCAATAGGTGTATTTCAACAAACACAATATGGAGAGAATGTGCAATGAACTGAAGGGGAAAAGCTTGTTCAGCAAGAAAACTATTTCAGAGACTATGTCAGTAGTATTACTTTGTCTGTAGGGCATTAACCAGCTGAAGGAGTCTGTCCTTCTCCACGCAGAGGATTTTATAGTCATTATTCTGGGTCATGAGCGTTCTCACATCAGTTGAATATTGTAGACATTTGGAAGACATCAGACCCCTGAGAACAAACAAACACAACATTAAAACATTATTTCTGCTTTTGTTAATTTTGCTGTGGTACATAAATTGATGTGTAACAGGAAAAAATATAAATAAAGTAGCTTTATGTTAACTTACTTGAATTCTATACTACTTCACACAGCAGACAGCACCAGTTTATGACCAAATTTGAAGAATGAACTGGAAGGGGTTTCAGGATTCATATTAACTGAATTCCCAGTAAAATACAAAGAAAAGCTATGAGCCATCAAACAAAGTCAGCCTGATTACAGAAAGTCCCCCCTTAATCAGTCATTTTTTAACCATTCTTTTACCAGACAAGATGTTTTAGAACCCAGTCTTACTACTGTAATAGTTAGGAGGGGAGATTTATTCAAGATGTAAACACAAGATCAACTGTCTTAATCACTGTCCACTATTTACACAGCACAGTAACAATTAGAACACACACCCTGAAGATGTTATTATCTTGTTAATATCTCCCTCTTCAGGAGGAAATCCTGAACTGCAGCTTGACGTCTCGAGGCTGGACTGTCTTTCCACACCCTCTTCCTGCAACAAGTCAATAATATTGAATCTCTAATACAGCAAAAAATACTGGATTTGAATGAATGGCCAAATATAATAAATGCTATTAGTTGAAAGACTGGCAAATAAATGGCAAATTTAAGTGCCACTTGCCAATAAGTAAAATTTACATTTGCTTTTTTTTCCACCTTGATGGAGAGCTGTTGGATTTCCTCTTCTAGTTCTTTGATCTTGGCCTCTTTCTCTGCCACCATCTGCTTAAGTTTCTGGATGAGAGTATTGTGCTCTGAAGGCTCACTGCTCAGCTGTTGTCTTGGGCTCTGCTGGATCTCCTTGCTTGGTACATTGTGCTGTTGGCTGAGCCGTCTCACCATTGCTTGCATCTGGGTGTGCTGCTTCTGCCATGGGTAGATAAAATAAGGAGCAGGTATTGGTGTGAGAAAAATGTGGTAAAGCAGAATATCCATTCCATCTTTTTTGTAAAAGTGATGTGTAACCCCTGATTATTTTTATTTGGTCTGCTGAACTAGACAACTGAATTGTGTAGTTAATAAATGTATGTATAATGTATGAAACATTTTATGGCTTTCATGGAACATGTACTTCTAAACCAAAAATTGTCAGAATCATGTTACAAATTCAACCACATTTAAATAACAAGTAGAGAAACAATCCTAAATGTATACCTGGTACATGAAACCCCTCTAACTTCAGTTTTAGTTATATGAATGCTTGTCTGTCTTGACAAAATTCCACAGATATTTAGGCTTTTGAGCACATGTCAAAACCATCAGAATATACCCCATATTTCATCATTTTCAAACCTGAAATCATGTTTGCTTTTCTTGCTGAAAAGATAAGTCACAGTAAATATAGTACAAGGTTTTCACATAACTGAAAATGTAGTCAAACATGCTCTGTCTCATAATGCCCATTGTGTATCTGCACATGAAAACAGGTACACTTTTTATAAATGTTCCTCTTCCAGCTGCTCGCCATCATTTTTGGGGGTCGCCACAGTGGATTACAGTGATCCACATACATGATTTCAAACAGGTTTCATGCTAGATACACCTGTTATCAAAATAAATCTATGGATTTTCTTTTCCTTTTATTATCTAATAGCTTACCAGCAGAGCATCAACAAGCTCATCGTCATGTTTTCCCTTCTTCAGTAGGGTGCAAATCTGGACCTTCAGAGTTTTCATTTCAGCAGACAGAGATTTGTTCCTGGCTTTAGAAGCATCCAGCCTTTTCTTCACATCCTCATGGTCTTTCAGGAGGGCCTCATAGTCCACTGAGATCCTCTGAATGGTTGGGCAGAGCTTTTGTAAGTTAAAAATTCTAATTTCAATTAACCAAATACCATTTTATAACTCATTTGTACACACTTCAAATGCCTCCCTCTTCTTCTTCTCAATTGTGCGGATGTAGCTTTGGTTCCTGTATTGAGGAGACGTTTTCAGAAGAATGCCCAAATCTATTAACTCTTCCTCCACACTCAGGGCACTTGACTGCTGTCGCTGATTTGACTGTTTCAGCTGCTGCTCAAGGTCTTGCACCTGTTGTATAATGGTCAGTTTCGTTAATATTGCATTTATACTTTAATTTGAAACACACATTATGAGTAAAGTTACACTTTCATTTTTACCTTACCCTTGTCTGAAGAGCCAGTATTTGCTGAGAACGACCTCTAAAGCTTCCTGGGCTGTTTAGTAATTGCTGAAGGTTAACTTCCTCTCCAACCTCACTGATCAAAACCTGAATATGATGAAATACAGTGGTTAATCGTATGAATATATG